CGCATAAAGAGACCTGCCTTAAATTGTCCGTATCCTTACAGAGGTTGCATTTTTCAAAATTACAGATTGATTTTTTGTAAGGTTCACATGCCTTTATGCCAAGGCACCCTTACAAAGAATTTTATTTTTTCGAACAGCGATCGATCTTTATAAAGGTGTATTCACCATTATATCTGGGTGCTATTATGAAGGTGTCTCTAAGAACCACCGCAAAAAAATACCATACATCGCAGATTATCATCGCAATAACTGGGCACATTGCAGATAAAATTAAAGAAAGGCAAGGTGAGCTGCATAATATCCATTGATTCTAGATACTCCTGTTGGAGCCACAATTGCATATATGTTTGTGCATTTTAATTTTGGTATAAGCATATACACAGCTTCCATAACATGCGACCCATCCTCCTATATACCAGGTGTTTCGGTTGATCTTTGCCATTTGACATTCTATATTCTTACCCTGAAGAGACCATGTTCATTGAAACAGGTTCTGATGCAAATGTGCAAACATTAATATTATGATACACATGTGGTTGGGCACCTTTTCCCATATATTCTTACAGTGGCTCCTCCATTGCCGTCAGCTGTTTGATACACGAAGTGAATGTCTGCAAACTCTGAATTCGTAAAACGGTATATACTCTGTGGTTGGAATCAGAAAGCTCTCCAAGTGCCTACCAGGAGCACTGGTACTAAATACAGATTTATCTGTTTTTTCCATTTCTGGCCTTGTTGCTCCATATAAATACGGTTTATTTCGTTTGATTTTTATTAAAGATGAGTCAGCCTGTATATATAACAGAAAGATGAATTGTATTTTGCGATGCATATGAGAGGTTATCCTTTAAAGTGGGGGAACTTAACAAAGCAAGGTTATTCGTAATTATGTCATAACGAAAAAAAAATTGTTTTTAATATTATATAATCCTAACTAATATTATAAATGCGAATGCGAGTTTGTTTGTGCGTTTGTTTATTACCCTTTCACTTTTTAATTACTTAACCGATCACCATGAAATTTTCAAGAAAGATGAGAAAAAGGTTATAGGCTATATAATGTAACTTATCAGTTGAAACTTAAACTATACAATAAGTTTTATAGTTAAAATGATTGCCGTTGTATAAACATTAAATGTTAAACGATATAAAAGTTTGTCTGCGCGCACAGGTGCTTGGCTTGTCTATAAAATGTTTGCGTGGTTTAAGCCACGCAAACATTTTATAGACAATAAATATTTAATAAACATTTTATTTATAACCTTTTCTAATATACAGGGGCATAGCTAGAGTTTCCAGCGCCTGGGGACAACTGAAGCATTTGCGCCCCATTCTATGTGCCAAAAATGGAAAACATTTCATTCAAAAATTTCGTAGCATCAATAAGGCGCCCCTTGGATGCTGGGCCCAGAGACAGATAGCCTCACCCTAGCTACGCCACTGCTAATATATCAAAAATATTTCTTGAAAATTTCATGATGATCCGTTAAGTAATTAAGGCGTGAAAGCGTAACATTTATAAATTTTTCCTTGTTTAATTTTATTATTTGAAATCCTTCAGGATTTACGGGTTTCGGGTCATCTTTCACAAAAATTTTTCAGTCATTAAGAAAATATACGTAGCAGTTTTACTAGATTTCATGGCGATACACTCCACGTAAATACAAAATATCCGCGGTCTATAGGTATAGAAGAAGAAGGGCAGTATTTACTGAAATTTTACGCAGAGTGTATTTTTAAAATTCACGCGAAGTTGAAACTTATTTAAGGACATTAACGCGAGCGAAGCCGTGGGTAAAAGCTAGTAAAACTATAAAACATGAAGCCACATTAAATTAATTAACTGGAAAACAAGGGGCCCACCAGCGGCCGAGCGGTAACGTCGCTGAACACTGGTAGTTCGGTCCGAGGTTCGAATCCCGCGAACGGGCTGGCTGCATGGGTGTTTTCGTGGTTTTCCCCATGTGTGAACGTGTATACGAGCCAGTTTCCCTTAAAAAGTCCTCCACGAAGGCATCCCTCCCTTAATGCAGATAGCCCTCGAGTGCTTTGCCGTAATTTAATAAGCCAAACGAAGTCTGAGAAAAACTAATCATTATTAATAGGAAGAGTTATAGGTATTTTTTTTCCTCTTTAAAGCGGTCTTTAATGGTATAATCGGAAGCCCGCCCGCCTAGAAATCATGAGGTTAGGAGTTCGAAACTCGGCGAGGGCAACGTATATTTTCCCTGCCTATTGGCGCCTGAAGTAAAATGTGGTAGCCTATAATATGTCACTATCAGGATTTAGCAACTGATCCTTACCTTCCTTGTCGCCCTAGAAGTGGGGGAGAATGCAAGGAATTTTCTCCTTTATTACCGCAATGGAAAATTTGGCTAGGGTATTGCACCTTTTTCATATTCTGGCTAGGCAGAAGAGTACCAGGGGGAGCAGAACAGCCAGGCCACTGATTAAGAGGAGAGGCCTCCGAAGAACCTTAAGTTTTTAAGTATATATTAAAAAAAAATGAAGCTAAAATGTGGTCTGTATTGGGAGAATCAATCCCTAACTCATAATTGGCACTAAAGATATCTTTGGGACGGTGTATGTTTCAGTTGCTCCATGCTAGAGAAGCTTTTTGAAGTTGAAGTGGATTAAAAGCTATCTTCGATCAACAAGGTGTGCCAAGATTTAATGGCTTGTCAGTCTTTTTGCATTGAACAATACGGTAGCTAAACATGTTAATGAATTTTTGACAAAACTATAAACAAACTTTCGTAAGTCAAAATTCACTAAAAACAGTTATAGCTTTTTTATTTTTAGAAAAGTTAACAATATTTTTTAAATCATCAAAAATAGCTGATTAATAAGCATTTTTAAATATAAATTTGTTTTCTAAATGTAATTTTTCCCCCTTAATCTTAAGACTTGCTTTTCAAATCAATTCAAATATTTAATTTTAATTAAATAAATGTTAATTTTATATTTGTGTTGACATTTTGTATGGTGATCATTCCGATATAGGGTGACCAAGTGAGATTTCCATCCTGAGCATCGATAATTAAGTCTGGCACTGCAGATAGAATTTTGCATATTTGCCCTATTTCTTACTTTGACAAATGTAATGATTTTACAAAATTACATGTTCTATTTGTACAACTTTTCCATCCTTAGATCAGTCAATATACTAAGCATAAAACCTATTTCAAACATTCTGCGTGTGTGTATTTATGTTTTATTTAAGCTAATAGAAAATATTTAATAATGGAAATTTCCTTCATCCAGAGTCAGTTTACAATCCATAAAAGATAATAAGATTAATACCAGTAATAATGTATAAATAATGTAAATAATGAGTAAAATGCATAATATATTTTAATAAATGAAGCTGGAAATTGCAGATGTGTGAATCTTGAAATAAATACTGATAACCAAAAAAAACAGAATAGAAATTTGTGCTTATTTTAAAAGTGAATAATACAGGCAAAGTTAAAATAAAAATAAACATTATCAATGAAGAGTAACATTACTTATACTACATTAAGGGGAAGCAAATGTGTATATGTAAATGTGTGCATTAGTGGTATTTATGACTTTACACTGAAATTCTGATTCCCCCATGAGGGGGGGGGGATCAGAATTTTTTTAATAGGTAAAGAAGCTAATGGGATAAATGAAACTAAGGGAATTATTGATATGTTGTCCTCTATTAAAGACATATGTGTTATTTTGTTCCATTGGCTAATTCATTTTCACATTGGACTTGTAATTGAATTTTAAATTAAGAATGAATCTGTGTGCTTTTTCAGGGAAGGGAAGTTATGCTTTATAAAATTATAAGTATGCAATATTTACAATTAAACAGAAAATGAGAGGTGTATGAAAAAATTACAAGAAAAAAAGGGAATTTTAAATTTTTTGACAGGATGAAATTTAAAATGCTTATCAGTCATGGTTAATAAAACTTAGCTGAATATTAAATATATGTATCAAATTTATTGAGAATAAAAATTGAAGCTAACAGAATGATAATAATAAATTAAAAAATTTATTTACATGCATACAATTTTATGTTAAATATACAGAAAATTTTCATACGAGAATACAAGAATAAAGAATTGTTTTATTAAAGAGTCTTGAAATAACTGTAGCTTTTTCTTTCACTTTTAAATTCAATAACTCTTAAAATTATAGTGATATTTATAAAAGCATAATAAAAATAATTTGATTAAACATTCCTTTTACATATTAGGCCAACTAATATTACATATTACAGCTCATGAAATGTTTCTGGTATGGAAAAAAGGATCCTTCTAAAAAATTTTCTTTACATATATATAACTAAAAATGTATCAGTTCATTTTTTCTATAATTATGTTTTATGAAAATATTCTTAAACTATTGAAAAGAATGAAATTTCCTTCATTTTCAAATGATTATGAGATGGATTTTAATGTAATGCTGATAAAGAAGATATTTTTAACATTAAAACAGAAAAATCTAAAATAGCTAAAACATATACACCTTGGATAAAAATTTGCGAGGAAAAAATTATAAATATTAATGAAAATAAAATTTTCATAGCACATAATTTTAGCATTTTAGTAAAAAATTATAAAAATTGCATCATTATACTTTACATACAGCCACTTTACTGAGATATTTATTTCAATATTAAATATATAAATTTCATGTTTCATTTCCTATTTATCTATTTCACTATCTTCTAATTTGACAAATTTTGTCTCAAATCTCAGATAATGCATTAATTCTAGATTCAGCAGCAATTACTTTCACAAAACATATATGAAATTAACAAGATGCTATTAATTTTGCACGAAGGCTTTCCATATAAAATTAACTTCTCAGATTTTCTACATTTATATAGTTCTATATAAAAAGAGCATTTATTTTGGAACATAATGACCAATATGAAGTAATAATACATAATTTATAATTTTAATAGTCACAGCATACTGAGATATTACATTTGGCTCATTGTAGAACCATAGCCTGCCTGCATACCCAGCAATGCAATCATTACCATCCAATGATACAATCATTTTGCTTATCATATGATAAGCTTGCTTTAAATTGATTTCATTAAAGGGTACAATAGAATACCTGCCATAGCTTTTCAGTTTATTGCCATATAACTTTATCGCACTAAGCACAGCAACTGAAAAATTGGTCACAAGATTTGTGGCTTAATTGTCTGATTTTCCGAGATTTAGGTATTAAGTTTTTATTTTGACTGACATTCCTCTTTGGAATGTCACTGGGTTTGCTTGATGCAGCCACTTGCCCTGAAGATGGTTAGCTTGGCTGTTCACAGCTTTAATGAAGCTTGCCGCAGGGTGGTGAATTCTACTGCATAACTAAGCAAATAGCTCCTTCACATTTACAAGTCTGCTGCTTCTGCACACCTAATCAGCTGGAAGGGATAAAAATTATAAACATAAATAATTACAAAATCGATTCACAATAAATTTTATATTTTAGTTAATTTATTTATTGAATAAAATAAATGTGAAAGTAATTAGAAAAGCAGCACTGAATTAAAATATTAGTAATACTCATAGTGTAACAACGCTGATACTGCAAATGCTAAATTAAACGAGTATTGGGACTTTAAAGCATTAGAAATGAGTGAGTGTTGCATACAAAGGTTAGCATTTTGGATGCATAAATTCATGTCACACATAGAGAAAATTATGAAAACTTCCATGCAGCCAGTCTATTTGGCAGGATACACAAGTAATAAACATGTTTAATAATGAAACATAATAAAAATATTAATAATTAATGAGGGAAAATTTATAGTTTTGTTCTTTTTATTTAAGTTAATATTTCTATTGTGAAAACTATCTAACTTAATACACTATTCACTTTCTCTTTGCCAGTACTAAACATTAATTCTGAATTATAATAAATTTTCTAACTGCTCTGTTATTCATTCACAATAGTAATGGCTTGAGTTAATTTCTTCTGCGTTTATTTCATTTATAACCTCCCAAAGTTTTCAACTACATTTTATCCTATAGTTCTAATCTGAGGTAATGTGCTGCAAATATCAAGTGTTAAACTGTCATAATAATAATACTATAGACAACTGAAGTTAACAAGCACATATTGTAAAGCTTCAATCATATGCAGAAGTGATTTATATGCAAGTACAGTCAAAAGTCGTTAATCCGGACTCGTCGGGACTTCGGCGATTCCGGATTATATATCATCAGTTTAAATCTGGTAAGATGGCATGCAGAAATTATAAAATTAAAAATATGAAACCATAGTTTATGAAATAAAGAACAATTATGATCTAAAGGGTATCAAAATTTACAAAAAGAAAAAGCTTAATATTTATTTGTTTACTTTATTAAACATTTATTTCAATGTAAGTTGCTTCGTTTCATGTGATAACACTTTCTCTTTAATTCTATTAAACAGACATAATTTCTCGTTTAGTTACAAAGTTCCGCTGTTCAAGTCCTATAATTGCTGTGTTGAGAATACCGACTAATTTGTCAATGGAAATGTTTTCGTTTTCAATAACCTCTGGGTCACTTTCTTCACTATCGAAAGCGAATTATAATGACGAGGAACTTGATTTAAATCATATCAAAGACGGAGTACATAGACATGAAATACTATACTTAGTAAGGAATTATAAGCCAAATAAAATAAAAACATCTGCCCTGAAGATAAGGATAGTGCTGACAGATCAACTTCCAATCCGCGGCGTGAAATTGATAAACAGATTTCGGAATTTCAGAACATACTTTCGCTTTGTAGATATAAATTACATATTAGTAAATATATATCGGAAATTCTATTTGACATAATCGAAAGTTCAAGCTTACTTTTATGAAATTGTTCTAAAAGTCTGCAAAAAATAATAAGCAGGATCCAATTCAAAGATTAAGGAGCAACGCAATGTGCAACATTAACTGAATCAGATAATTTTAGCTTAGCTTATACCTCCGTTACGCATTAAACGCGCATGTGCACAAACATATTCGCAGCCGTAAAGGTCTTACGCGCACTCTTAAACGCCTGTGCGCATGCGTGAACGCAACGCATGCGCAGAAAGTTTGTAGCTTTGAGGTCCGGATTATAGATCATTCCGGATTATGGGTGTCCGAATTAACGACTTTTGACTGTATATCTTTATCATTTGGCCAATTTGAATTCAACAAAATAATCTAATTTTCATAACTTTCTCAATTTTTATTGTCTGCAGATAATCAAAACCATTTTTAAAGAGGGACTACTGCACATTATTGTTAAGAAATATATCACATTGACATTCTTCAGCTTTATTACTTTTTAACTTTAACAAATTAATATTTAAGTACTAAAAATTAAATATAACACAGTTATAGCTCTGAAGCTATGTGACAGATGCGACGAGCGAAAGCTCTGAAGTCAGATTCCAATCAGTCTGGGTCGTATTTATTTTGCATATAAAACAATACATGTGAATTCTAGTTAAATAGAACCAATGACTAAAAAGCACTTGTTTTAAAAAATACATAATAAAAATGTATTTTTCATATTACATATCAATACAAAATAGCATATTAAAATAAAGTCGTAGCTGCCCGGATGGTATAGTGATTAGGGAAGCCTGAGTACAATACTGAGGGACCCGGGTTCGAATAACGAACAAGGCATGGATGTAAATTATCTGTCCCTTCATAGGAGGCAAAGGTGGCCTGCCTATTAGGTGCCTCCATAATAGATCACCATATCTGATTTTAGGAGTGGCCAATGCCGGCATAGGCAAGCATCCACCATTGGAAACAAAAAGTACATGTGCAAGAAATGGAGTTATTCTGATGCTAATGGTTTCATAAAATTAATTATTCTTTTCTGATAACTCGATTCATAATTATAATGTGGGGAAAAAAGAAGAAAATATAGAATATCAAATCCCATTTACTTTCCTGAACCAAAGTATGAAAGTAACAGCACAGTGTATAAAAATGTTGAACAACTGCATCGTCTGTTAACACAGTTATAACTGAAGTACTGTTTTGAAGAAGGGTATGGAGTTTTATGGCAATTAGCATATACTTTGATGCTTCTTATTTCATTAAAGCTAATTCTTATATATAGGCATAGTAATGTTTTGTTCATCAGCATTTTATGAATTATTGACAATTTCAAAACAACAAGTATAAATATGCAAAATAAAATAAGGAGCTGTACGACTTAAAGCTCATATAAATTGGAATACCTTATGTTGGAGCATTGCTGAACTCATACTTAAAACAGAATAAAATGATAAATGAAAATCAAAACACTACTATATATGCACTGTATGTTACTTCCTTATTAAAGCAGACAGTCTGGATATATTTAAAAGTTACAAGTTACAAATTTGGTGATTCAATCAGCTTATTTTGTTATGGTGTCTTTATTAAACAATAATCAAATGTCACCTATGGATATTCTAATATATTTTAAGAACATTAGGCTTAAATAAAAAGTTAAACTTTACCTTTCTGGATTTTGGAAAGCCTAACAGATTTCAGTTCACAAAAGTCCCATTTATTGCTATTACAGGCCACACATCGAGCAAAAGCTTTCATTGAAGGGCAGTTCAACCTGAAAAAAGAAATTAAATCACCATTTAAAATTTCATGATCAGGGTAACAATACAAAGGTTTAGCACTTGGCTTATAAATAATCCTGCTCTTTCAGAAAAATTTAATTGCCATGACAATAGATTTAGGTTGGTAACTTATTTCTGTAAAAAAATGTTATGCCCTTTCCAGGAAAAACATGAGCACACATATTTACCATATAACATATTCCTCGAAGTATAACACAATGGCTTCAAATCACATTAATTAGAAAGTTTGATTTCATTTCTACTTTAACCAGGTTGCCTTCATGGCCATATGACATACAATATATTCTTTAAAATAAAGACTAATGTAACAGATTCAAATAACAAATTTAAAAGTTTTGCCCCATAAGTGAAAACATAACTTTGTGAAATAAATCTTGCATCCAATTTAAGGCCATGAGAACTGATGTTTGACAAATACTAAAGAAGGTTTATTTATATTTTTGATGCATTAGACATGAACCTGATTTAATCAAAAAAACTTTAATATGGGGGATAGGTTGGAATAGCTTTAACTTCTTTGATAAGCTGAAGCATGTTTAGAACAAAATGTTTTAATGACAAGTAAATTTCCATCATTTGCAAATCATTATATTATTAGAAAATACATTTTAATGAGATACTAACAACTATGACATTTTATGCATAAAAAGAGTAAAAATTAAGCCAGTTATCATTTGGCTTTGTGGTGTCATCGAAGCTTTGCTTCTTCTCCCAGCATAAATTCTTTGGTGGTACACTACTATACTGTCAACAATATTGTTTTCATATTAGTTCCACAACAGTAAATTAACATGTTCCAGTTCAGAGTTTGAATGCATCTGAAATGTTTTGTGCACAGTTTGAATTTAAGAAAAATCTCTTTCCTTCAGACTTATATTTTCAGCTTAATATTCTAATGATTTACTTTTTTTGAAATCATATACTACAGCTATATCCATTTGACTTTGAAGGGAAGATTAATAATTTTTATCTTCTTATATCCTACCCATATATCTTTCTTTCTGAGTAGCTATGTGCAGAGTTAAAAAATGTATAGACATATAAAAATAATAAGGATAGCTTAATTATTTTTATTGAGAAAAATTAAATGTGCATAGCTATATATGTAAGAATACATAATTAAATTAGTCCAAATCATATTTAATGCATCTCCATATTTATTTTAATATTTTCATTTAATATGTATTTAAATGCACTGATCATTTTATCATTAGAATTCTAGTAAAAGTAAGAAAAAAAGCTATAATAAATTAAATGCTGTTGTTGTTGGTTTCATTTTAACTTTGCCCAGTTTGTCTTCATGGCAATAGCAATATTTATAACATATATAATACTTAAAAAAGGAACTTTTTGTTATGTTAATAATAATAATTTGCTTCATTTTTTAACTCCCAAAACCCCATAAACGTTTTGCGAAAATATAAAAAACTTTATTTTCTTTTACCGTAATGTTCGAAAAATAAACCCCATAAACGTTTTGCGAAAATATAAAAAACTTTATTTTCTTTTACCGTAATGTTCGAAAAATAAACCCCATAAACGTTTTGCGAAAATATGAACTAATAATGATTTGCGACTTTCAAACTTTATTTTCTCTTACCGTAATGTTCGAAAAGTAAACAGAAAATTTCCCTTTTCCTCCTTCAGGAAAATTCCCTGTGTGGGTTGCAACAATTATCAGGGTTACCATATTCTGGCGCACGTACGCTCACTTCCGATGTAAACAAATCCGCAATTTCGCCAAGTGCCGGTTATGGAAACATCCCCCAATGTTGAACGCAACAACAGACCATTTATCAACTCATGATTCTTTAGAGCTGATTCCATTCATCGACTTATGATTCTTCAGATATTTCATAATAACTTATGATTCTTCAGCTGTTTGTCGTTTTAAATTTGTAATTCACATAGTTTTAAGTCTATATATTTATAGGAAAGCGTTAAATCTCCTCAGTTTGGAGGAACCTTGGATAAACCTACTGAAAAAAAAAAACTGCGAATATTTATTGTTTGTTTGAAATGGAGTGGCCACTTTTCGAAGGGATGGAACGACCTTCCTTACTCGAAAAAGACCTAATGATAAGATGATCCATTTGCGAAACAGGCCGCTCCTTATCTTCACCGAGTTTCCTTATACCTGTTTGGAAACGAAACGAATGTAGTCATCAACAAACAGGTGTTTCGATCTTCGTCCCAAAAGAGAGAAAGAGGAAACGCAAGGGGGTTGGCTCGCGAACGAAAAGAAAACTTAATAGGGAACGAGGAGGAGAGAAGAATATTCTTTAGGAGTGGCTGGTCTTCTTTGCTTAAATGAGAAAAGAATGAGACTGATGGGTGCTGGGTTATTGTGAAGATCCGGTTTTGGTCATTTCATCGTTGTTACTTCGCACGCGAGGAATCTGAAGACGTGACTCAGTAGACCCGTCCACTTTTCTGCATTCCTAGCTCCTCTTTTTTTATGTCACTTATTGGCTGCTTTTATTTATTTTTTTAATGTACGTTGCCTTTTTTTTTTTCTCTATTCCTTCCCCAGTTCGGCGTATTTTGGAAGAAAGAGCATTACTTATCCTCCAGAAGTTTTTTGTGTCCTTTTTGGGGTAATAGCTAGTACATCAGCGGCACCTTTCAGTTTCCGCTGAGTGAGAGGTTCATAACTTTTCTCTGACTCCTTGTCTCTTCTCATTTGTGGGTTTGCCGGGGCTCTCGGTATCTTGGCGATCGTTTGTCTGTCTGCATCCCGCCGCCTTAACCTGACTGATGTTATTGCTGCTTTCTGAAATAGATAAATATCTGTGCTTTCGTTATTACTGTCTGCTTTTGTTGAGTGCACGGAGCAATACTTGTCAGTCGCATGTTTCGACCGAACTTGTTTTTTTGAATCTGTGTTTCCTTTATCTTAAGACGTTTGAAGTGTTACAGATAATGTCCATAAGTAAAAGCTAATTTTTTTACTATGTTTTTTGGGCCTTAAGATATTTCGGCATCGTGACGTAAAATCTAATTTTATTACTGTTTTTTTTTTTTTTTTTTTTTTTTTTTTTTTTTTTTTTTTTTCAGACCGAAGCCAGTATAAGATGGCCTTATGCGTATGAAAAATCCTGGCCTCCCTTCCTTTTGTTTTGTTTCGTGTGTGTGTGTGTGTGTGTGTGTGTAAGAAATATAAGCTTAGGTATGTGACAGACGTGCGTATGTGTAACCAACTTCACATGTAAAGCATATTCTGCAGGAATTAAATGATCTTGCATTACATAATGAATAAATAGTAATGAAATTTCCGGACTTTTTGTATGGAAGTTTTCAGAGTAGGAAACATAAAAAATCAATTACACCTTCACCGGAAATCGAACCACGTATCTTCAGGTTACTAGCTGGACGTTCTGAACACTTACATCACGAGATTACGTACGAGAGAATGCGATAATTCAGTATACTTTCAAGCATAGGCGTCCGCTGAAAATTTTCCAAGGAAGAGGGAAAACAGAAATAGAGACAAATAAAATTATATCAATAATGTTTTTAAGTTATTCGATTTTGGGGTGTGTTTGCCTAAGATGGATTACAAAATACGGCATTAAATTCAGTGCAAAAACGTACATATTAAATGTTTATCAAAGTAAAATACATTTTTTTTCATTCGATTCCGGCGGGAACAAAAATGTCTTGTTCCTGTATCCCTGCGGACGTATGTGACTTATATAAAATTAGTAAGCAGAACTTCGATTATCCGTCAGCCACGAGATTTCCATCTTAACGGATAGAAAGAAATATGCAAAGAAAATCTGTTTCCATTATTTTGAATAATATAACCATGCATCTTACCAGCTAGTCACCTCTGCTTACAAATAAGTGCTTCATCAATTGCGCTGTCATAAACAGATCTTCACGTCTTGAACTTACTAAACGGCTTATTCAGTAAGTCTGGGATAACATTCCACAGTGCTCACTTGCCGTAAAAGAAAAACAGGATAATGAATGCTTCTGAGCCCCTCTGAAACTTTATCTCAACTATCGAGGGCTATAATTACATAAGATGTTTCCAGAGCTCTAAGGATTGTTTGGCTTCTAAATTAACACTTATAGTGTCGCATATTATGCAACATTTTGTAATCGAATTAGACGCTGCAGTTGGAAGTTGAGAGCGCTCTAACTTCTCATTTTTTTTCAGTTTTGGAACTAGACACCTCGCAGTCCTAGCGGCGTCGCTAGAACATTTGCCACCCGGGCAGTATCTGCATTTTCCACCCGGGAAACCCTGAATATGTCGTCCATCTTAATATACGAACAATATCTTACAAAATGCCATATAGGGAACTAAATTAAAATTTACGTTCGTTTTTGCAGAAAACTTTAATTCTAGCATTTTAGAATTGTATTACTTTTTTTTGCCTGTTTTTCATTCGCAAAAACATCGATGACATTATAGAGGCCCACTTGATTGCTTCAGTTGCTCCTATGTAGACAGTATAGAAAAATTTTGTTAATACAGAATAAACTTTTATAAATCTTAAATACTTCAAGCGATTTTTATTTAGAAAATTATTCTCACGACTATTACAAATGTTGCAAAAGTGTGCAGTAGTATTACACTATTTAGAACTTTGTTCTCGATACTGAATTTTAGAATTAGCTGCATAAGTCTAAAAGAATCGCAACTTTCCATGTCCTTATTTTGGTTTCCTTAGCAATAATGGATGTAAAACTCTGAAATACTTGTCTCTTAACGAAGAATTCTTGCTTATTAATGTAACCGTGATGATAATTCAGTTGATATTTTTCATTCAGAAGTTTCGACGGAATAAAAAAAGTTTAACAAAAGTATAGTCGTTGAAATCTCTCGATGATTTCTTTGAATATTTTATCTAGAATAAAAATTTATTTTTCTTTCTAATATAACTCCGTATGGCAATTCAGAATCTCATTATTCTTCAACTGTTCCAAATATTAACATGAGTAACCTCTATAAATTGATGTTTCAAGCAAAAAATGCCGCCCGGGGCGTTCCTTCGCTCTCGCTCTAGCTACACCGCTGCATAGCTTGTGAAGGAAATTGATTAAACATGGCGATTTTCGTGGCATATCATCAATTAATTTCGTGGTAAATTATGAAGAATTAAATGTGTCTGTCGGATGATGTCCAAACCGACTGTTCTTGATCTGCAGATGAGTGCTGTAGAAATGTCTGTTTTCGTGAATCGACATCCCATTTCGCACAGCGATGCTGCTGAGTGGGTCATTGGACTTGCTGTTAGTTAACTATAATCCCACCTCCTGCTTGAACAAATAGGTTTTTCTGTTTTTCAACTTGTCCAACACGTATTGCAGTAAGTGTATGTTTAATGCTTGGTTGTCACCCAAACAGAATCGATCAATCAGAAAGCTTTTGATGACAGTGGCGTAAAAGTTAAATTACACGTAGAGGTGAGAAAAGCGGTAAAAACCCAAATTTCTCGAGATTCGCTTGGATGCGAGAATCATTTAAACCGTACATTAAGAAAAATCACCCATCGAAGTCTGTGACAGCATTTCCCGAAAAACTGGAAGCAATGAAAGGCGATTTTTTTCAGTTGATCTGAGGAATCCAAGTGACTTAAAAGGACAGTAATTTCTGCACATTATTCTCTGACTGAAGAAAAGAGTAATTTTTGCTATTTAATAGTGAAGAATCTATATATATGTATGAATGTATGTTCCGCACATTTCGCAAAAACGAAGGCAAACAGAGCCGTCAAATTTTTAATGTGCATAGTCTTCCACCGAACACGTGCTTCTCGGAGCTCGAATTTTGAATTTCAAATTTATTTTTGATTTATTTCGTATTTTGTGCGAATTAAATGAACTTTTGATTAAAACCCCAACGGATTTAAAAAGCTTTTAGTAGCCACTCGACAAAGCATAAGATATATACATATTTCAAGTTTAATCAGAAACACGTGAAAGAAGCGTGTTGCTCCTCCATAAAACGCAATACATTTGTCGTTCAAATTTCATCAACAGATTCAGCAATTAAAAAAAAAAAAATGTGTTAGGAATATCCGGATTAAAATAATTTTATCTTACACACCTGTATTTTTATTCACCACCATCCAGTTGTTTTCGCGGTCTGCCTCAGGTTCAACATAAATGCGAGTCAGTTTCGCTAAAAATTCTTTCTCAAATACATCATTTCATCCTTATAAGCAGTTAGCCGGTTTATAAATAATCCAGCTTTTATAGTATATCGCTGATGAGATAGTGACAGATTAGCGAAAGGAGATTTGTGCATTAATTGAAGGTGGTGTATTTAATTATGGCAAAGCACACTAGGGCTATCTGCCTAAGGAAAGGATGCCTTCGTGGAGGACTTTCTAAGGAAAACTGCCTCATATCATTAATTGAAGAAGTTAGGTTCAGAAAGACTGAAATCTACCACAAAAGCTGAAAGATCTGTATACTTGAAAATATCATCTGTGTGCCTCCTGGGATATAACGGTAGTTTTCTGTCAATAATTAACCATTTGCGAACGTATTACCGTATTTACTCGCATATTCTGCCCTTCAGTAATTTTAACGTTCAAAAATCTAGAGGGGAAAATTATGCGAATAATCTTATTTCCGAAGGATGCGGTTACAGTAAAAAGAAAAGTATTCATGGGTAAAACTGTAGGCAACTACTATTACATTATTATTTAAAAGAAACCTACATAATAAGAATACATATCTGATAAAATATCATCATTACAGTATGTAATAAAATACCATCAATTCTATTTTCTGTGTTCTGAATCTCGTCTCCTGTTA